TCTCTCTCTCTCTCTCTCTCTCTCTCTCTCTCTCTCTCTCTCTCTCTCGCCTTTTTTGGGGCCACACTGGAGATTGATACCAGGGATGCTTTACCACTTAGTTACACCCTGGGGTCCTTTTGTTCTTTTCATTTTTATTTTGAGACAGGGTCTCACTAAGTTGCTGAGGCTGGCCTCAAACTTGCGATCCTCCTGGCTGAGCCTCCCAAGTTCCTGGGATTACAGGCATATGCTACGATGCTTTGCTTTCTGCCTTCTTATAACACGTGATTCCTTCGCTAGTTCTCTTATATTCTTAAGTCTTCTTGAATTCTTGGACGGACTTTGAATTTTTTTTTCTTCTCATACTTCAGTCTTGATCAACATAATTCCCACCGCAATACACCTAAGGGGCACACAAGCACATTGACTTTCTCATAGGTGCACAGAGGGGAGGGATGTGAGAGGAGAGAGAAAAGCAAGGGCAGTTAAAAAAGCCTCTGGGTGTGTCTTATCACACACTCGTGCCTGAGCACAGGTTGGGGAGATGTGTGCCTGCAAAGTTCTTTCTCTGTTTTTTCTTCCTCATTTTGAAACCCTTCTATTGGCTTTTCTATATAACATTTGTATCAGAGTCTTCCACCATAATTTTGTTGAAACAACCTCCAATTTGCAAGAAAATGATGGAGCAGGGGGAAGAGTACGCTGCAGTAGGATATTATTACAACATTTCAGACCCTGGCCTGACAGTTTTACTGCTGCTCTGTCACAGTCTTTTGTTGAAATTGAATATATAGTCATTCCCAGGATCCATGGGGGACTGGTTCCAGAACCCCTACAGATACCAACATTCTCAGATGATCATGCTCCTTATATAAAATGCCATGCATCCTCTTGTATACTTTAAATGATCTCTATTTATAATAGCTAATGCAATATACATGCTGCATAAATATTTATTATACTATGTTGTTTAGGGACTAACAACAAAAAAGTCTGTATATGTTCAGTACATGTGTAATTTTTTTCAAACATTTTCAACCCAATGTTTTGAATCCACAAATATGGAACCCACGGATTCAAAGGGCTGACTGTGTTTTGGGTTTCATGGGGGGTGGGGGCTGAAGGAAGCCCTTTTATCTAGAATGAGCTGAATTTGTTTCCCAAGATTTTCTTAAGGGGGAAAGGGTTTTTGGAGATCATGTTTGAAATGAAGGTTTTGGACTCTATGAACTTTAGTCCTGTCTGCCCTGTTTTCAGTCAAGAAATAGTTCAAATAGAATAAGTGGCCATGTAGTGGTTCACACCTGTAGTCTCAGCTACTTGAGAAGCTGGTGCAGCTGGATCACTTGAGCTCAGGAGTTTGGGGCCAGTCTGACCAACACACCAAGACCCCATCCCTAAAATTCAAAAATAAAAAATAAAAACAAAACAGAATAAGTAGCTTTTCATAAAATGTAAATATGCAGTCCCTTCTGTTCTATAGGAAAGGACTAATATTTCCCTTACACATCTTTGATTTTATTCTGATTCCTTATAAAAAAGAAAATACGAGACACAAGTATTAATGGCAAGAAAAACCAGATTTTATTAAATGGTGACCTGGATGAATTCAAAATATCATATTGCCCTATTCTTTGCAGAGAAGAAAGGACTTATAGTTTGATTTGTTTTTTTGCTACTCAGCCCTCTTATCAATATATTTGGTTTGTCTTCATAAATTTAGAGTGTACTATGCTGTTTTCAGACTTTGGGTTTCTCAAATTGAAAAATGTGTGCTTTATTGTAAGTGCTACAGATAGTTTGATAGGATGATGAATGAGTTCTTCCATTTTGCTATTATCCAAGATTACTGTGGAACCATGGTTATTGAAGGAGAGGAAGCTCCAATTGCCTACACACTGGATGATACCAAACCTGATGGCAACTATGCTGCTATCATGGGGTAAGACAAATTATGGCATTGTGGTTGTGTTCAGTATTGAAAAGATAATCAAACACTATTAATACATGTGCCTCAAACTTTGTTAAATAATTGTTTTACTGAATGACACTACTATCCAAATCCTGCAATAGAAAAATTCATATTGCTTCTTTTCTTTGTTGTGTGCCAAGGAATAAATATCTACAAGAGACATATAATACCAATGACATTTTTAATTTGCTTTATTAATTTTCCATTTCATATTTAGTGCTGGGATATATATATATATATATATATATATATATATATATATATATATATA